GAGCCAGAAGATGAGACTGGCACTCTGCACAAAGGGTTGAACTGGCATCAGTGCCATAAAAATAGTGGTCTCTTTTTAAGATTTGAGACATTCACTTTATGTTTTCTTTGTTCACTTTGCAAAATACATGTGAAAGGCTTCACGTGTATCATGTAAAATTAACAAATTAAATAATTGTTACCTCATGCAGAAGCAAAGCTACTGCAGTTATGTAAGTTAGCTGTTTCCCAGCACTGGAGGTATCATCTCCAAAAACATCTGGTACAGGAAAAAATGACTAAGCAAATAAAAACAAACCTTAGTCATAACACCAAAGAGGCTGCTTACTAAATCAATGCCATCAGAAATAACATGCGCTAAGCTAACACAAGACAGTAGGGGCAGCTGGCTGAACTAAACTTTAAAGTCATTCAGATGCACACAAAATAAAATGTCTGAAATAGCAATTCACCTTGAGTATAAGATGCCAGATCCCCTGAAGAACATTTTTACATCAAAATCTGGGCCTGACTCAATCAGGAAGGACTGCTTTGTATAGCAAGAGTGAATACATCCTTTTCCTGAAGCACTATATTCTGCAAAATTCCCAGTTTTGCCAGAACAGATAGGATGAGAGATGAACATTTGTACAGTACTGCATTGCTGCTAAACTGAACCTATGTTAATAATTTAATGCATTAATGAATAATAGGAAAAGGAATTACTACTGACCAAATGTATACATTTCAAATGTGACATTTATTTCCTTTAAATTGGTTCTATGCGTAGATTACTGTGCTTCCATTTTTCCCTGAAACTAACTCATGTTTCTTGTGAAAATTGACATTATCCAAAAATTATGTTATGGTATGCAAAAAATCTGAATTTTAATCAGGTTTTTTTATGCTAATGATAAATCAGTGTAAAAAGTTTCTTTTGGCCATATATATTCTTAAATATTAATAAAGATAACAAGGAAGATTCCAGTTAGGACACTAGCTTGAACCATGGGAAACACAAATTCAAATTCCTGACATACTAGCAAGTTGATAATTCTCTCTCTCCCTCACTCCTCTGTCTGTTATTATAAGATAAAGGGTTCAACCACCATTCTTCATTTTCAATAATTGTATTTATTTTACAGCAGTGATTCTTTCATTAGTATTAGATTCATTAAGGGTAAGTTAAGTGCAAACTACAAACTGGTTAGGTAGCTTTTCTTCTGAAAAGGATCTGGGCAGCATAAGGGATCATAAATTTTATAGAAGTCAACAGTGCCATGCTATTGTGAAAAAGATTGGACTGTCATATAGCAGAAGTAAATAGATTGCAAGGCATGTCATGTAATAAACTCTACATAGCATTGGCACCAGCTTATCTGAGTATCATGTTCACCTTGGACCGTTGCTTGTCAAGAAAGGCATGGAACAGCTGGAGAAAGACCAGAGGAAATAAAGAATGATAGAAAATTTGGAAAATGTGACCACTAAGGAATTATTGAAAAAATAGCAGTTATTTAACCTGAAGAGGGAAAGGCCAAGGAAAGATATGATAGCAGCTTTCCATTAAGTCGAAGAAGAAAGGAATAATCTGCTTTCTGTGCCTAGAGGACTGGACAAGAATTAATGCATTTTTGGTAAGAACATTTCTACATAGAAAGGAAATGTTTCTTATATTGAGCAAATTGCAGCGTTAGAATGGATTGATGCTTTCTCATTGAAACTTTCCTCACTGAAAGTGTCTGAAAAGGATAGATAAATACCTGTCAGGAATGGCAAAAATAGGGTATTTTGCCTCTCAACAACAGAGTGGACTAAAAAGAAATCCCAATGCCCACTTCAATCCTACTTTTTATGATTTTTTGAAAGCAAGGCACTTCAAAACAGCAAACTGGACATCAGTTTTCAGAGCACATAAAAACACACTTCTGTCTCAAACAAATTCATACTTGTCAACACTATTTAATACAATAATGATAGCCATTACAAAAATGAAAGCATATTAAATAGCATTTCTTCTGTATGTGTTAATCTTTTTCCTGATTTCTACAAGTTTAATACTCTTTCTCTATTCTGAAAGGTATTTACTTCCATTTCTGCAATATAAAATCATAGTCATTGAAAAATAGGTCTAGAAGGGAACCCTCAGTTCTATCAACCAGATCTTTCAAGAAAATACAGAATGCAGCCAAAGAGAGGAAAGCCACTTACGGAATCACATTTAACACAACTTCTGTTTTGAAAGCAAATCATCAACAAATACTCCACGGGTACCACTGTCTAGCCAGTTTTGCACCATCTTAACATAGCTTCATTAAGACCAAGATCATTTGCAGTGAAAACGTTATATAAACCAACATCAAAATTCTACTAAAGTTACATTAGATATAGGGTTATAATCACTGTATAGTGTAAGTATTGTGGTTTTTAATTGCATTGTGTTTATTTTTAAAGATTTTATAAATCCTTACAAAACTTTAACTGTAAAGAACCTTTAATACCTCTTAAGTATGAGGGATCATAGATCTCAATGACATACTCATGTTTAGTAACAACATCATCATTCAGACAAAGCACAAGTCTTAGAAAAAATCTATAAATTATATCCGAACAGTCTATTTCCTTCAGGTATATTTAGGTCCATAAGATAACACTAACTTGGAATTATTATAAAATCAATGTGACCTGTTTTCATAGAATCACAGCATCAAAGAATGGTTTGGGTAGGAAGGGACCTTTAAAGATCATTTAGTCCATCCCGCCTGCCATGGGCAGGGACATCTTTCACTAGACCAGGTTGCTCAAAGCCAGGTCCAACTTGACCTTGAACACTTCCAATGATGAGGCATCCACAAACGTCTCTGGACAACCTGTGTCAATGTCTCACCACCCTCATTGTGAAAAATTTCTTCCTTATACCCAGTCTAAATCTACCCTCTTTCAGTTTAAAACCATTGCTCCTTGTCCTGTCCCTACCAGCCTTGGTAAAGAGTCTGTCCCCATCTTTCTTATAAGCCCCCTTTACATACTGAAAGGCCGCAATAAGGTCTCCCCAGAACCTTCTCTTCTCCAGGCAACTGAAGAACTCCATCCCCAGTTCTCTCAGCCCTTCTTCATAGCAGAGGTGTTCCAGCCCTCTGACCATTTTCATGTCCCTCCTCTGGAGTCTTCTAGCAGGTCCATGTATTTTTTGTAGTGGGGACCCCAGAGCTGGATGCAGTACTCCAGGTGGGATCAGTTTTATAATCTGTTCTTTGAAAAAGGCAATTCCAATAGGAAATTACCATTTTAAGGTGGTACTTAAAGAGCATCAATACACTACTGTATAAATGTTGTATACTACTGTTTGGATAATAGGAAGGGATAGATTTTAGCATTAATAACAATTTCATAAAATATCCAATAATCAGTTAATTTGCTTTGACCAGTTAAGGTACTCTAAGCAATTACTTGGCTGACATACAACAAAAGATAAAGTGAATTTACATATGAAGTGTACACAATATTATTATCATTCTTGCAAATACATCATCATCATGAGAAAGTAAATGAAGGTACTAATTTCATTCATATTTGTATTTTGGAGGTGTCTGAATATGCAAAGCATCATCACAGCCTCATCATGCTACAATGTAAATAAACATGGTATTTCAAATAGCATCTGCCTCTATCACATGCTATTATTGTCAAAGTATATAAAGTATGAACGTTACCTTTGAACTGAATAAATGTTTTAGTTTCAAAATATAATTCTATTGTTCAAAAACTGGAATTAAAGCATCATGCAATGATTCACATTACTTCACAAATAATTTGATGGCTGCTACTGATCCTTTTCATTGCAAAGCAGCTTAACACAATAAAGTAAATTTCTCAGCTTGGCCAACTGATTAATTTCATAAGCCATTTTCTGATACAAAAATTCATAAAACCATAACTATTATGAAATAGCATCCAAAGCATTTTCAAAAATACGTAACTATTGTCTGAACCTTCAGAGACATACCTTAAAAATAAGATACTCTTTATTATTCACTGCATCATTTACACCTTTTACATAATATAATCAAAGGATTTAAATAACTCAATTTAATATTTATCCAGGAACTGGCAGCCAGTATTCTACCCTGAGGGACGTAACTCTTCGTAAAAAGCTTATTTTACAAGACACTGTAGCAGTTTTGGCATCACCAGCACCTCTCACATAAACCATGCTGAAAACTATAGTTTATCCTGCCAAATGCCTTTTGTACATATGGTGTTTAACAGTGCTCTGTAGGTCTGTAAGCCAATAATAATAGATTTAAGCTAAAAATCTGGAGACAGACATATATGTAACACAAAAATTTAAACAATGCTACGTATTCATATATATATTTACCTACATACCCCACATGCATATAAACATACATGATTTAAAATATTCTTTAAATTAATATGCTAATTATAACTCTTGTAAAAATAATTTCTCTTTCGATTTGCGGTAGCTTCCTAAAGTTTAATTCTCTTTCTATTGACATCAGAGGCAGAACTTCCATTAACCTCAGCAGTACAGAATTAGGCCACAAGAAACACAAAGAAATATATTTAAAGACAGCACGTACACGTTTGTAAAATCTTCTAACTATGCAAGGATGGGCTTGGCACTTTACGAGGTTAACTTCCCCAGTAAACTTCCAAATTAAATTTTAAAATAACATATTTTAAATGCTACATCTTTGATTAGTGGTCTACATATACTGTATATAACAACAGAATAAAACCCAGTTATGTATCTACATGTGGTAAGAGATGGACCTGATGAAATGTACATTGTAGGTAACAACAAACTTCACAACCCTTTTTACATTTGAACAGTCTGATTTTATGTCATACTCTGACTGAAGTGAATCAGTGAGTTAAGAAGTATTTAATGCAAGTCTTCTTTAGAATTAAGACACTTTTTATAAAGACAAGTGCTATAGTTAAAAGTGTTAATATATTGACAACTCCGTAACATAAAATAATGCTCAAAATGCTTACCACTTTCAAAACAGGCATCAAATATAAGATGTCCTTTTTTAAGCTGTCCACAATAACCAGCTGGGAGAACAGTGTACTTGCTCACGTTCCCTGCTATGATATCATCACTTCCCATGGCATTACCTGTTGCAGTAAAAGCAAAAAAAAGCATAAGCATAAAACGAAAAACTATAAAAACCAGTAGAAGGATATTCCCCCATGCTTTTCTACATAACATGAAATTTGTACCATTTAACATATGCACCAGTAAATGAAGTCCTTCTTTTGAAAGTTTGTTTAAGAATTTGGATATAATAACGGCATCATCTGTTAAAGCTTCTCTAAGTAACAAACCACACAGCCTGGTTTCCTGCACATGCATGTCCTGTGGCTGAACACTCTCGTATGCAATAGTCCAATATTCAGCTGGATCCACTTCTTTTGACTGAGCTCTCTAATACATATATTCTGCATGGATTCCTTAGAATTGAACTCCTCAGCAGCATCTTACTTTATCGTAATCCTCAGCAGCATCTTCCTCACTATGGGCATTAATGGGATCTTTTCCTCTATCCCGCTGCCTATTTTCATGCATCTTAAATGAACTTAGAACCTTTAAGACTGTTAAGTCCCACTCATATTTGAAATTTGAAAATTATTAGAAGGGAGAGACATACACTCATGGAGGCATGCGATTATCTGAGCCTTGCTTTCTTAGGAAACAAAGCTCAGAAAAAGAACTTAAATAAAGAAAAATTTTTAAAAATGTGGAGTTTATTTCATAATAAAATATAAGAGGACATAAATTTTCTATACAATGGCATGATTTTTGTCAAAATATATCAGTAGTGTATGCATTGAACACTTTGTCCTTCCAGTAAAAGTATACTGTCTAACAAATTGCAGTATGCAAAAAATTTGTTTCCAAATAGGGATGGAAGAACACAGCGATTTTTTTCACTTGAGAAATGTATAAGAAAGTAAGTTAATATTTGTATATTATATTATACATTAATAATACAGTATAGTGAAAGAAATACACAATAATATAACTAGCTGTTCCTTCTTCTGACATTGGCTCAGCATTTTCTTCACTATTTACTGTTTGGACAACAAATATTTAACAATAGAAAAACTATCTTCTGTGTTACAGAAAACTAGAAGAAATGTGTATGCCTTCAAGTGCAGAAGGCATGTGATGGAATAATGGGATGATAATATCTTATTTCACTCTGATAAATAGGGCTACTAAGGCTTCTAGAAATAGTCTTCTGGTCTGTCCTGATTTTTTGACATTTAAATGGGTTACGGGGGATGATGAATGTAACATAAAGCTCAATTTGTTTTATTTTTATATTGAAAACTATTTCACACAAATGTTACAAGCAATTCATATTGGCCCTGAATGATGAAAACAGCTTATTAATTAAAACTGACCTTTCCATACATAAATGTATTCCACCTCTTGAGGCAAAACACCTTAGCTGAGGTAACAAATTGTATCAATGTATTAGTGACACCACAGTTAAAGGGTCTGTCAGGCGTTCTATTATATACCCATATTTTCAGAGGTATATAAATCCCAGATTAAAAAATATGTATATCCAGGTCAACACTCGGCATATAAATCCCCAGTCTTCCCAGGGAAGAAATTTGAAATTTACGCTCTTCGAAAAGTACTACAAAGAGAGTTTAGACCTATTCTTACTTTATCATAATCCAAAAAGTGAGATATTAAATAATGCATGCTATCATGTTTTAGCAAAATTATTATTTGCAACCTCAAGGTTATTTGTTCTGGACTGAATAATTACCCACAGATAGCAATCTGCAGCATTTAAACTGTTTTCTTTAAATGTAAAATTGCTACTTATGATATTTTCAGCTAGATGTTTTTTACCAGCATGCTGATACAATTTGCTTAAAGGCTGGTAACACCAGAGGCAAACTTAGACCTGGATGGGGCATCTGTGTATCTGTATGGCCACGATTGTGTCACTTGGTACAACTAATCCCTCTGCATCATGCAGCCTGTAATTCAGAACAGCAGCCACAGGAAAACCATTTCCTCAGTTTCAGGTCAGTGCCACTTTGATTAAGAGCCCCCATATACCTGTCACAGTTAGTCAAGTTAATCGTTTGTAATCCAACACATGGAATCAAGGATACAAAGAAAAATTCAGGGAAAACCTGCAGATCTCCACCAAGAATCATGAGCTGCCAGGCACCAAAGTGAAAGAATGGAAGGCAGGGAGTCAACTGAGTAGAGCAGTAGGAAGACTGAACGCCTCCTGGTAAATGCTCACTTGTAAGTCTCAGCTAACAGTAATAGGCTCCTTGTAATTCTTAAAAGATAGCTGGGAAACACCACTTAGACAAAGATGAAGAAACTAGAAAAGATTACATTCATAATACTGCCACCATAAGACAGCGTAGGAAAAGCAGGCAGAAGACAGAGCTACAGCTCCCTTTCCACCTAACTGACAATTTAGAAAATCTGCCAATGGAGTCTTTACATGATGCAGAAGGAAGCTGTCAAGTAACTGTGTCCTAGCAAAAAGTTTCCATCTGCTCCTCCTGGCCTAATGTAGCCATTCAGGAATGAGAATAAAATCATCAAATAGCCTATAATTCATAGTCATTAAATAATATTACTCTCTCCTTGCATGTTCTTTATTACACAGTACTTTGAATATTCAGAATGTACTGTTGTTATATTTTGCATTATATTATCTTTAGTTAATCTCTAAACATGCAAAACTGCAGTCTTTGAACTTCATGTTATTATATAGCACAACAGCATTATGTCTCTTCTGGCATGTTCTCCTTGCGTGATAAAGAAAAGGCCAGACTACTGGCCGAAAAAGAGCCTGCATTGCTATATTACTAGATTGTAAGACATGGCTTCACGCTTGTCTCTTCAGCAGATGCAGCGAGTGTTGCTGAGAATACATTACCATCTTCAGATGGAGAGAACTATGTCACACTGTGCCATAAGTCCTCTGGCCAATAAAGAGATACTGTCCTCACAACTGCGGAGCCCTAAGTAGATTTTGCTGACTGAAGGCAAAGATGTGTGACAGAACCTTGTGGGGAAGGGAAATAGTACTTCAATCTGAAACAAACTGAAAGGGAAGGAAGAGAATTAACTGAAGTACATCCTGCACATGACACTTAAGGAGACCAGATTCTCCTTTGAAAAAAGGTTAGGTAAGACAAGAAAAGGCAAAAGTAACTTAGCAAAAAAATTTTTGCAGACTGTAGGTCTTATTTTGTCAATTATTTTTCTTATAGGTAAGACAGCTATTTTATTCTAATACTTCACAGCTTAAATTCCTGGAGTCTCCAGCAAATCCCTAGGATTTACTTTTACCACAGTATTAAACTTTAATGGTAATTTTCTATCAGGTATAAAATCTGTAGGTGTCTGAAATCTCTGTAAGTATATAAGGTTTTAAAATAAAACCTGGACAGAGCCTTCTGGTATCTGCATTCATCACTATTGTCATCGTGGATATATTTCACATCAAACTAGTGAAAATGAATCGAATCAGTTACAGGGGACTGGGATTCTTAGGAGGAAGAGTTTGGAAACTTCTAGAGCTTCTTCCTATTCTTAATTTCAAAGGGTAAAGCCAGCATTTAGGCAAAGATGAAAACAGTATTTGCTACAATAAACACCATTCATATTTAGGTACGTTTGCTTTTAAAACTGCAGTTTCTAGAGGAAGGTACCTCTTCAGTAAGTAATAGTTAATCTTTGAATTGGGTAAGCAATGAGCCCAGCTTCCAGCTGTGACAAACTTCAGAATCCACAGAGTTAGCAGCCGGCAGCTACCCTCATGCTACATTAGGTAGGAGAGCACAGCTGCATTAAAACAGACATAGAAAAATATAGAGTGAATTTGCCTGGAAAACCTGCATCATTCTTATAATCAGACTTACTGCCTAACAAGGATAGCCAATTAGAAAGGTAAGGTAACATGAAAAGATACAAGAACCGCAAGTGAACTTTGTAGAAGTCTTTCTTTAAATATTACAAATGTCATCAAGACGCCTCTCATTCTGTTATGAGATCCTTATTTTAGAACAAAATTAGGATACATTTTGCTACTGAAAATTTATATGGTGTAAAGATCTAATAGCCAGATTCCCATCATCCAGGGGCCAAGAAAAGTTTCCAGGTATCCTAACAAAGAGCTGCTTCAGCCTTGAGCAGTATTGTTATTGTAAACCCATACAGGGTGAAGTGAATCTGAACTCTCAGTACAGTTTGCAACAAACAAAAATTCATTCAGATGACCGACGGCAACTCCTATTAGCCCCTAAATATAACAAGTCTCTAGATGAACATCGCTGAACTCATGTTTTAGACAAGTAACACTTATGGAGGATATGCCAATAACAGCGTCTTCTTCACAAATGAGAAAACTGCAGTGTCATTTTAGCAAAATTCTTTTACATGATAGCATTTGTAGAAATCTTAATATTTGTCTTAATAGCTGATTATGTTCTCTTGTTCTTCAATTTTTTTTTTTAAATAAAAGCTTTCTATCATTGTCCCTAGGCTTCAGCAGCACTGATATTCAGGAATACTTGTTATTTCTGCTATCAGCTCTGAATGCTCTATGACCATTCTAAAAATCCTACAGGCAGCAGCAGGCAGGAACTTGGAATTCCAGCTCCACTGGCTTAAAAAATGCTAAGAAAAAGAAGAAAACACAACTGTCACTTTGATCTTTACAGCCATGTATCCTGCAGCAAGGATTGGGCATGACCCTGAGAATCTAAACATACTGCAGAGAGTGTTGTCAATCTGAAATGTACTTAATTCACAGTCACCATGATCTGAAAAGAAATGGAAATGTTAAGACTACAAATCCCAGGGTTTGGGAGAATACCCGGCATGGTACCAACCACACCTGCTGCCTCACATTCAGGTACCGTGCCCATACTGTCACCATTACCTATTTCAAAGGTCAAGCAGAACAAGGAAAATGTTGATTATCACAGACAGCTTTCTCCTACAGCTTGGTCTAGTTCTAAAAAATAGTAACGTTGCGTTGTTATTTAGAAAACCAATTTGAGATAAAGCATCTTTAAAGTAATTGTCTCTTCAATTACTTTCCTCCTACA